TTCAAATTTTCATACGCTTTTCGCTTGTATCCCATGCATGTTACATGACCTGCCCAGTTCATTCCCAGTTAATACTTATTTGACGGAGAGTATAAATTATGGAGCACGCTGTAACGTAGTTGAGGCGCTATGCTATAAGCCGGAATGTCGTGGGTTCAATTCCACATGAGGTCATTGGGTTTCTTCAATTGACTCAATCCTTCCAGCCGCACTATGGCTCTGGAGTTGATTCAGTATTTAACAGAAATGAGTATCGGGAATCTTCCTGGGGGTAAAGAGCGGCCGGCGCGTAAGGCTGGCAGCCTCACCGCCATCTGTGAGCCGATTATCTAGAGAAACTGTCGTAGCCTCGACGTCTCACAACCCTATGGGCCTCCACGGCCTGTTACTGGTATAGCTTTATCTTTTTACTATTAAGAATTAAGACGACGATAGATTGAATGCATAGAACTGTGTGAGGACTGCAGATGTCTGGAGCGGAGGGGAGGCAGTGAGTCGGTCATTTGTATCGTTATTTAGAACTTGTAGCCATCTTGCTTAATCCTTCGAAGCACGAAAGAAATAGAAGGAAATTCAGGGTTTATAGCAAGCCAACGGCCTGGTAAGTGGGTTTTTGTTCATAGAAATTATATTTATAAATTCAGTTCGTACCTCACAGGAAACACGGTGTGTCTCCATTACAAAGACAAAACTCTTTATTCCGTTTAGGGAAATAATCACTGTTTGTTGTTAGGGTCATACGAAATATATAGGCATATACACTGTTTGAAAACTTTGAGATTCTTAATGTTACAGCCGTTGGTATATATAATTACCAATGCTCTTTAATCCATTAACATTTGATATATTTGTTTCTCACTTCCTCTAGATTCCCAAGACAAAATTTAGCACGAGTTTTTATGTCCAAGTTTAACCTCTTTTGAAGTCATTTGACCGTACTGAATGATGGTGTACTAAAGCCAATATCCTTCCTAAGGCAGGTGTCAGGGTATATTGAAATCTTGTGACATTACTTACGGCAGAAGATTTAACTAAGCGATAAATTTGTTGTTTTATTTTTCTTTCCTCCCCTCGAGAGTTGGTTTTATCACCATGGTAACGTCTCCATCAGCCACCATGTTCTGGACACTCAGACAAGAATGTTAAGTGTCTACAACTTTTATGGCGGTTTTAGAGTCGAGTACGTGTACCCTTGGTAATGTTAAAGCGTTTTATTAATGTTTTAATCGCTTTTCGAGGAGATGATTCTATATATGCAGACAAGCAGAAATACCCGTTCTTCGCCCGGGATATTATTATTCTCCTTGTCATTCTCAGAATATATATAAGCGAAATATTTTAAAGGAGGAAATACCACTCAAATTAAGGCTAAGTTTTTCCTGTACTTAACTAATTAAGCACCACGCCATGAAGACGTATGGGGGAGTGGATGTATAGATCCACATTTTCTTGACCTCGACACTAGTTGGAGGTGAGTGGTCAGATTCACGTCCCGGCCGCTTTACACCCGGGAAAGAGCCCCGGTTACCCATTGTATAGGAAGTTGGCTTTTGTGGACTCCAGAGCCGGTCTGGACTATTGGAGAAGTGAAAATTCTTGACCCTACCGGGATTCGAAGTCCGACCCCTCGGCCATCCAGCCCGTAGCCAGTCGCTATACCGACTACGATACCCCGGCTCCTACTACTCAAATTAACAAAATAAAATTTACTCATATAATTATCCGGATTGAAAATGAGGATTCAAATTGCATGCGAAAACGCTACGAAAATATTTGTGCATCGCTGTAACAATCATCCCTGCCGTTCATATTGGGAAGCGTATGGATTAAATTTTATATTATTTTTGAGTGTTCCCTGTTAGGTCCGCTGTAGGAAACAGGAAATTTACCTTTATGTTTTATTGAAATTTACATGCATAAGAATAATGTCGTGTTTAGGGACTTGGTGACTGAGCTAGACTGCTAAGTAACATGAAAATTATGTTGTCATGGACACCGTCCAGGCCTAGTCTGGCATCTGTTTACGAACGTTTCGAAAGAATGTAGTGCTTCCATCTTCATGGTAAAATTAAGTACGGGATGTTTAGGTTCTCGTCTCTAATTGTTCGCAAGTATTTTCATCTTTTCTTTCTATTCAGATTTGTTCAACACTTTGTAAAAGAAAATTATCCTCTCCAGTTGCAAACAAGAATTGTGCTGTCTGACGGGGAGCGAACCCCAGGCCTCTCTAGAGGAGGAGCCAGACACGAATCGCGTTGTGATAATAGAAGCCAACCACCTCCCTCCGCGCCCGTTATGAAGTCAGTGCAGCGTTATCATTGTGTGGGTTGGCAGCCATGTGGTAATAATCCGCCCGAGTCATGCGTCGTCACATTAATCACAGCCAACGACTTGTCTCGCTTACTGTCACGTGACCAAGGAACGGAATGTGATGGCCAGGATCTCCAGGTGTTTCGGCAGGCCTGAGCTTCTACGAGTACTATTCCCCCCTCAATTGTCTGAAAATTGAAGTTCGTATAAAAACTAAAAGAATTCAATTCGTACCTCACAGGAAACACATTACGTCTCCGCTACAAAGCCCAACCGGTTAATGCTGTTTAGGGAAATAATCGCTGTTTATTGTGAGAATCATACGGGACACACAAAGACACTGTGTAGGCAGAATGCAGTATATATAAATTCAGTCCATACGTCACAGGAAACACATTACGTCTCCGCTACAGAGCCCAACCGGTTAATGCTATTTAGGGACATAAGCGCTGTTTCCTGTGAGAACCATACAGAACACATAAATACACGGTGTGGGCAGAAAGCACACTAAAGCGAGTGATAGAGTCATCGACACGACAAGCCGCCTGCATTTCCTGGTTTCTTGGTTAGTTTACGCTTCGACCCTGAAGATTGAGGTAGTATGTTTCTCCGAAACGTCAGGCTTTTCCCGAACAACACTGCATTGCAACCCAAAAGACCTTCATAGTTACCGCTGCCGCTGTGAGAACCTGAGATCCAACATGGTGTAACTCACACTCACACGTATGTAGAATCCAGCGGGTTTGTGTGTGTGTGTGTGTGTGTCCTGGAGTGAAGCCCATGCAGGTTCTCACAGCTGTGACTGTGAACACAAGTATGGTCTTAGTTGTGACGCCGTATAGTCTTGTAGAAATGCAGGACCGTTTCGATAGAACATTTGCTTCTTACGCGTTATCTTACACGGCTTATTCTTCGACTCTGAAGATGGAGGCAGTATTTCCTACGAAACGTCTTTTAGGTTCTGTCGGATAGTACGGTGTCACATCTACTTAGGTAATCGTCATAGAGTGTAGGAGCCTCAAAATATCTATTATTCAAGATAATGTTGATAGTACCGGTATATACTCGTATATGTGTTGCAACCCTAGGTTAATTTTGGCCTCAGCAGCTTTTGTTGTCGTGTGACAGAGGTACTGTATTATACTTTTCTCCGTGAGGTTTATTCACTGATCATATAATCTGTCTTTAGAAACGTCACCAGTCTCGTCCATTATTCTGATATACGCGTCTTGTCCTATACAATTCACTGCAGCACCTGGGGCTAGCTAAACTCTATAGTGGTTTAGTGAGGAAGTAAATTTGCATAATACAAATTACTTTAAAACACACTGAACAGTTAAAAAGAAGTTGGATACGCGTGTGTGAGATTAAGTGGGTTGCAATAACTTTTACTTAAGTTAATACATAGAATTATGCAGCATAAGTCTGTCCAATAAGTACAAGTAATGGTATAAATACCATATACACGTTTTGTAATGCCACTTGGCGCCTTAAGAAATGTAGAAAATTCCATATGTAAGACATGTAAATCCTGTAATATTATGAAACATCGCTTCAGGCTATGAAATCATTTCACTGCTCTTTGAAGTGGACCAAAGATTCTGGAGTTATATCCTTCAGAGTCTGTTGTATGAAGTTGCTTACATTTGGACTTCCATATTTCTGAAGGAAAGGCGTTTCTTACGAAGCACTTGCTGTAATATAACTCATTTACCAGTGCCAATTATTCTGGCGTAGCGCCAAGGCTTATAGACTTGTATTCAGGGGTGCTTGTTTCGAATCTCACCCGAGACACCGGCTATTCTGAGATATATTGCGGACTCCCTTACTCCTTCCACACAAAAGCCGAAATATTAACTAGATTAGGCCACGACCTCTTCCATCCACAAGCAGACTGCTTGTACCGGTTCTCACGGTTTCTACGCTAACGGATTTCTTATTTTTCCTTCTACCCTGAAGATGGAGGCGATGCGTTCCTCCGAAACGTCGGTTAACACCACATCTGCGCGGTGCCACATCCCAGAAGACTGCTTCTTCATAGTCACCGCCGTGAAAACCTCAAATCTTACTATTTCAGATTGGTTGTTTGCTTCTGTTAAATTTCTGTAGACGGGATGACTCAGTCGGTATAGTGATGGGTACGGGCTGGACGGCCTGGGTTCGATTCGCGGGAATGTAAAAGATATTTTTCTCTATTTCACATCGTCTGATTCGGTTGTGAGACCCTGGCAGCCTTCTATTGAATGGGAACCAGGCGGTGAAGCGGCCAGGCCGTGAAACCGACCAGCTATTTCCATCTAGTTCCAAGGTAAGAAATGATGGAGCTATACCTCCACTCTGCCATATGTCTTCATGGCGTAGTGCTTAATTAAACGCGGGGTAATGTTCATACATTTATATCAGATTTCTTAAATTTTTCCTGGTTTTCTATAGTTACAATTACAAAATATATTTTTTTCCTTTTGTTTCTGGAAGGACGTATAATTAACATGAAAGCTGGTCCCAGTCGGATAGTGAGTTCCAGGTCATTGAATTGAAAGAGCGGACTCGGAGGCCGAGAGAAATTGAGAGAGACGGCCATATTTGACTTTGTAGCGTCTTGCTGGCAGTGTACCCGCCACTTTAGGGGAGTGACGCCCAAAGTATTGAAAGTGGCAATTAATTAGTGTTTTATTGCCTTGTCTGGACAGGAAGATGTATAGCACGCGTTGGGGACTAAGTGAGTAACATCTGGAACAAAGGGGGCTCGTTCCTACGGGACTTGATTTATATAAACTTTAAGCCAAGTCACTGGATTGTTTGCAGAGGCTGCACTTCATGTAAGTACGGGGTCACCATTATTATTATTATTTGGGCACGCCGTAGCCTAGTTGTTTGAGGCAATGTGTTACAAGCCGGAAGGTCACCGGTTGCAGTCCCGATGAGGTTGAATTTTTTCAATTGACCTAAACCTTCTAGCCGCACTATGGCCCTGGGGCCGACTCGGAATCTTCCTGAGGGTAAAGGGCGGCCGGCGCATAAGGGCGGCAACTTTACCGCCATCTGTGAGCCGATTGTCCAGAGAAAATGTGGGGGCCTCAACGTCTCACAACCCTATTGGCCGTCACAGCCTGTTACATGGATAGCTTTATCTTTACCTGCTTTTATTTTTATTATTATTATTATCATAATTATCAGCTATTTGTTTGTTTACTTTTACTTTATTCATTATTATTTCTTCCAAGTGTTAACCTGTAATTTGTATTTGACTTTTAATAAGATTGTGTATAATGTAATTCATTCTTCTGCACTGTGCTGTGTCTGTAATTGGCCTTGCGGCTGTTGGCTTAGCACATAAATAATAAAGAATTGAATTGAATTATTATTATTATTATGATTACTGTTACTATTAGGATTTTTCACACGTTTCAGAGGTGTTTCAAATTTAATCCTTTTTCTAAACTCCGTCTCAAATATTATATGAATTGTTGATGGTGAAGAGTACTGTCTGTCCTCTTGGATGTGGTGCCGTATAGTCTAGTAGAAGTTTACTGGCGTTTCATAGGAAAGCAATACTTCCATCATCAGGGGAGAATGGAGCGATTGTTGTTTCCTATGCAACGGTCTATTCTAGCGTTTCCATAGAAGTGCCTCTTCTGGATTCCCGACACGTTACAATATATTTTAAGCAAGCAGCGAACAGGAAGTAAGCAAAGTCGCGCAGTCCCATTCCTAACATTTGTAATTATGCGAGCAAAGTTTAATTTCTCAGTGTGTCATTCCTTCTCTAAAGGAGAGAGACCATGTCCCGGGCGAAGACCGGGTATTTGTGCATGTTCAAAATACGATTGAGGGAGAGAGAATTTGTTGGTTGTTGAGTATGGTTAAAAATAATAATTCTTTTATATTACATTTCAGCAATGGAATTAAAGACTTAAAAACACCCCATAAAATAAAAAAAAACATATTTTAAACGAAAAGAAAAATAATTACTCAGGTTTTCCCTCTGTGGATACCGCTATATACAGAATAGGGGTAGCATATGTGATCCGACGGGCGTCGTTTATGTTAACATATGGGGGTTGAGGTGGTGAGGGTTGGCTAAACACATATGACACACGGATGTGTATTAGTATTTAGGCTTCTGTATGAGTTGGGGAAGGGGGGGGGCAGAGATCGGCACACCAAAATCCAAATCTCAAACACAAGAGGCTTACGATATTATTACTATGTATGGAAACATGATATTATTGTATTAATGCATACGGCTTGCCTGCTAGGAAACATAGAGTTTGATGATAAGCCGGTATTAAAATAGTTTTGTTGGTGATTCGAAGAGCTTGACTATTATAATGACATCTATACACTGTCAACAATTTTAATGCTATGCATATATATATACTCGTAGATCAAGTGAAATGGACGCTGCATTATGGTTAATATGTTTGTTGGATGTGCACATGCAGTTAACTGGAGCTCTGTAATAATTCACAGATTTGCGATTCGAAGAAGCATTTTTGAGAACCCAGTCTTGTCACATAACGTGTTTTGATAAGCTGCCCAATATAGCTTCTAACGCTTTGAAGGCTGAACTTAATGTAAACAATATTTATAAAATCAGTCCGTACCTCACAGAAGACACATTACGTCTCCGCTACAAAGCCCAACCGGTTAATGTTGTTTAGGAAAATAATCGCTGTTTATTGTGAGAATCATATGGAACACATAAATACACTTTATGGATAAAATGTACAGTTCATGAATGTTAAACTACGTGGTACAAATAATTACCACTGCGTCATGAAAGGTTTAAATTGTGAACGACCCGTCAAGGCGGAGTCAAGCTGTGTAGTGCACACAGTGTTGTAAGATGGAAGTCGCTTAAAGATATATAAATTATTATGCCGCATCAAAAATACGTTTCATCAGATGTAGAATCTCGCATCATGAGAGGAAGCGTTTCAAGGGCGTTTAATTTGCAAGAAAATTAATTCGAATAGAAAAGAACACGAAGTTAACGCTTTCTATGTTACGATCACTATATTTTCTTATAATCCCCCTTACTCTCCTCTGCTTCCCATCCCCCTTTCGTCTTTTTCCTTTAACATTCCTGTTTATTTGTGCCCTTCATTTTCCCAGCGTCCTCTGTTTTGTCCACTTCCACTTTACTTTTTGTACTGTTCCTTTTTTCTCTGTTTTATTCTCCTTATTTCTCTTGCGCTTACTTCTTCACGGTTCTGACACCTAGAAGTATGCTCCCAGGGCCTGAAGGGCTCAGCATTAATGCTTCATTGTCCGTTCTAATATTTTTGTGATTTGTCTTGCGACAATCTCAATATTGGAATTATCTTAGAGCTTCTAATGGTTAGGATGGCTGATGAGTTAGAAGTATTTGAAAGGAAGCGGCCTAATCGAAGTGATATTCTTGTATTTGTCTGGAGAAACTAAGAAGAGCGTGAAAAATTTCAGTCAGTGTACCAAGTCCTGACCGAGATTGAAAACGAACATCTCTTCCTTGAATATGCAAGTTGCAGTTATTCCAGCCCGCTTAGTATATCAATAATGATTTAGTATGTTCTCTCCAAATTATGAGGACTGTTGGGGTTGCCGCCTCAAGGGGTGTATGTGTTCATGGCATTCTGTAGGAATCAAGCCTGTCGGAACTTAACTAAGTTTTTATATGATTTTGCTGTATAATGAGCAGTTTGATAATTTTTGCGCTTCGCCAAGTAGCCTTAGGTTGATCAGATGAAGGAGAAAAGAATTAACGAATCATGATAAATACATAGAGTAAACCCTCGATAAACCGGATTAAGTGGGGGAGGTCATCCGGATTAGTGAAGCAAAACATTGTTGATGTAAAGAAAAAATCACTATAAACCTTTATTTAAAAACTACGACAAGACATTAAGCTGAAGTACAGGGTCTCCTTCATCCAGCTGAAGCCAATCTTGGATATTTTCTTGCGTTGTTTCATTCTCTCCAGCTGACTTCAACACAGTCTGAAACTCCTCTTGCCCCTAAACCCCATGTGTCTTCTAAAGTACTCAGCTGACAGAATTATTCATTTTTCATACTTCGATCCTGATTATCCGACATCCGAGTAACCGGGTCAGCGAAGGTTTACTGTATTAAAATATTATCAGATAAACTTGAAGAGATGAGATGCTCAAATCGGAGAATACTGTTTTTAAGAAATTGGGGTGCTAGTGGGTGAATTGAATTTATTTCACTCAATACAGGAATTAGAGGAGAACTTTTGTGAACACTGCAACGAACTGCTGGGTTCTATAAAAGGTGGAGAATTTCTTGACAAGATGAGCGAGTGTTGGTTTCTGTGTGGGACTCTGTTGCATAGAGGCATAGAAGAAGTGTAGGTGAAAGCGAAAAGTCACGGGGGAATGAGAAACACTTTATTATGGGAGCAAGAACAAAGTATAATTTTGTTAGAGGGTTCCCAGGCTTCGCCCGCTTGTCCTTCTGGCAAGGACACTGTGAAAGCGAAGTCAGAATGGTTAGAAGCAGTGGCTTGAGACACGAGACGCGGAGTTCTGGCCTGGTAAATTGCTACGTGCCGTCGTCAGCACAGTCCTTGGTTCCGAGTTCCACAGCACTCATCAATCTTGGAGTCGTGCACATAAGTATGTGATCTCGGTGACACTTGGAAAAGATGGCCGGAATGCGCAAATGCCTTCTGCGGGCCTAATAGAGATTATCCAGTGATGTCACGGAATTTGCTTCCTACTTTTGCTGATATGCTAAAGCTATGTGGAAGTATAATGCAGTACTTTTTTATGATACCACTGGAATTATCGTTTCCAGTACTTTTGTTGTCATTACATTTTTTAATTTGAGTGCTATTTGTTTTGTGCTTAAAGTGAAATTGAGAAGAAAAGCAACTACCTTCTGGGCGTAGAGCGGTTACCTGTTACTCACGAGTGTTCGCCCTTCACTCAGGATTTCTGCCCCTTCTGAAGATCAAATAAACTACACTATACAACAAGTGGAATAAAATTAAAAAGAAGCTAACTAGTTTAAATTAGTTTAATCAGCTTTCTAAGGTAATTAATAAATACATTCATAACGATGGAGTCTAGGGACACGCGGTAGCGTAGTTGGTTGAGGCACTATGCTACAAGTCGGAAGGTCACGTGTTCCAGTGCCAATGAGTTGGATTCTTTCAATGACCTAACCCTTCCAGCCGCACTATGGCCCTGGGGTCGACTTAGCCTCTAACAGAAATGAGTACCAGATATCTTCCTCGGGGGTAAAGGGCGGCCGGCGCGTATTGCTGACAACTTTACCGCTGTCTGTGAGCCGATTGTCTAGAGAGAATATGGGAGCCTCGACGTCTCACAACCCTGTGGGTCTTCACGGCCTGTTACATGATAGCTTTACCTTTTTTATAATGATAAGAGTCAGTGAAATTAGACTTCATTAATGTTACTCGGGATAAAAATGACGCGAGATTTCTGTGATCAGTCTACAGTGTCCACATGTTAAGTTTGTCAGTTTGTGTTGCGACATGGCCCCCCCCGACACAGGTAACTGTATTAACCGCGTAATAACACGATAATGTCCATTCGTGATTCTGTGTTTCGAGCCTTAATTAAGGTTTAAATTATAGATTATATTAAAGTTTATAGTTTCTATGACGTTCCTGTTTGTCATCTAATTTTATAGTGTGGAAGTGCTACGTTTCGAGTCCAAGAGGGGCCAAGACACTAACAATCCTGTCATCACGTGACAGCGTGCGGTAAACACGTCATTAGGATGCAAGTCTAAACACTCCCAAACCAACCCCCCTCCCCATCCCTTACTCTTGCATGGAACTAAAA